TTCCTTTTAGTTTCTTAAAAGAAACAAAGTATCTATTAACTCCGGGGAAAGGGAAAACTAATTTTGTGAGCTATAGTGAAGAAAATAAAAAAACTGGCAATTGCATTTAAAAATCGGCACCAACATACACTTCGTATTGCGAAAAAAAATTTGTAAACAGAGGCATTTTTTTCAATGGATTTTCATTCGTAAACCGAAAATTATGTTAACTGAGGTATTACTGTATATGGTGATTCCATATTTTTTTCCTCTGCTTGATCTGCAGAAAAAGTTGCAATTGACTACAGTTTTCTTTCTTTTTTTATTTATAAGTGTTTATTAAAGCCAGAAGGTTGGAATGTTAAATGAAAATAGTTTTGAGGCATGTCTGATTATTTTTCTATACAATTAAACAACTGAATATTTTCTACACAATGAAACAAACATTTTCCAAGAGTGGTTATTCCATACTTTTTGATGGGGTTGTATGTGCATTATTTTCTTTAACCACTAGCCTACTGGGCACTTATACCCCCTTCCTGCCCAGGCCAACTTCCAGCGCTGTCACACTTTGAATGACAATTGCACGGTCATGCAACACTGTACCCATATGAAAATGTTATCATTTTTTTTTAAACAGATAGCGCTTTATTTTGATGGTATTTAATCCCCTCTGGGGTTTTTATTTTTTCGTAAACCAAAACCACTGAAATTTTGAAAAAAAAAAAAAAACGTTTTAGTTTTTGTTATAAAATTTTGTAAATAAGTGATTTTTCTCCTTCACTGATGTGCGCTAATGAAGCTGCAGTGATGGGCACTGATAGGTGGCACTGATGGGCATTGACAGGCATCACTGGCACTGATAGGCGGCACTGACTAGCACTGATGGATGACACTGAAAGGCAGCTCAGATGGGCACTGATATGTGGCATTGATGTGCACTGGTAGGCACTGATATGTGGCACTGATGGACACTGACAGGTGGCACTGCTGGGGCTACACTGATCATCAGTGCCCTGATGATCAGTGTACATGTCCCCTCTGCGGAATGCCGATTACCAGCTCTCCTCTCGAGCTATCAATGTGACAGCTTGTAAGGAGAAAAATGCCAATAACTGCCATTTCCCTGTTTACATATGATCAGCGGTGATTGGACACAGCTGATCACATGACCGAGCCGACATCTTCGGCTCTTTCCGTGGATCGGTGAACCGCTGTCTCCGAGGGACACAGCGCACCGCCGATCACCGTGCGCTCCCTGAGCCGCACATGCAGAAAGAGAGTACCACCTTGCACCCGTCATTGGACTATATGGCGGGCGGGAGGTGGTTAAAAGCTTATTGTTTGTTCTAGATGTTTTTATTTGCATCCACTAAGTTCACCTTTCCACAAATAATAAATGCACTATTTTTTTTGCAGGTAAAAAAAATATGCGTTTATTATTTTTTGTGTTAGGAGCCTGTAAACCATTGCACCAGCGATCAGCAAGTCGCTGGTGCCGAGCAGGTCTCCTGCAGATCTGTCAGTATATATGGCTAGTCGTACATACCATACGGGCAAGCCGATACTTGCTGACAGGAAGACTAAGTGCCGGTTCACATATATGCGGATATATGAACCACATCCAATCTGCATGACATGTGAAATAACATTGCGCCCTATGGTGCCTGTTCACATATGTCCGGTGCAATGGCAGTGTGGATTGAAAAAAGAGTCCTGTTCAATTTCTGAGCAGTGCAGTCTGGTTCAGGTGCAGATTACAGGCTATTAACTTCTATGGGAACTGTTTTAAACTGCATATGTATGAACAGGATAACATCCTGACCTGAACTGCTGCGTCAATTAGCTATGAAACCTGAGCTTCAATCTACACCGCACATGTGTGAATCAGCTCTCAGTGAGCTACCACAGTGCTCAAAGCGCCACGGTAGTTCATTGAGGACTACAAGCCGACAGCCGCTGAGGTTGTTGGTACTTCTAGTCCATTCACAGAACACTATGAATAAATGACGTGGCCATGTGGGCAGATCCCCGCTGTTTTTGAAAACCGACAGCTAGTACAAAGAACTTCTTCCCGTACTTCTGTCACAGGAAGGGAAGCGGGTGTCAGCTGCAGGATCAGGAACATGTTACATGTTCCACCCTAAAAACAGGTGAACATGTAACATGTTCCCAAAGGTGAACTCCTTTAACCACTTGCCTACCAGGCACTTTTACCCTCTTCCTGCCCAGGCCAATTTTCATCACTGTCGTACTTTGGATGACAATTGCACGGTCGCGCAACACTGTACCCATATGAAAATTTGGGTCATTTTGTTCATACAAATAGAGCTTTCTTTTGGTGGTATTTAATCACCGAAAAATTTTGAAAAAACAAAAGTTTCTTAGTTTATATTGCAACATTTTGCAAACAGGTTATGTTTCGCCTTCGCTGAGGTGCATTGATGAGGCTGCACTGATAGGCAGCGTTGGTGGGCACTGATAGGTGGCACTGACTGGCAATACTGATAGGTGGCACTGTCGGGGCTGCCCTGATTATCACTGTAGATGTCTCCTTTCACATTTGCCAGTTATCAGCAGTACTTTCCTCATGCTGTGACAGTGAGAAGAGTACTGCTAAACAGCAAGTATGTTTACATCATAATCAGTTGTAATTGGACCCAGTTGATCACATGGTAAAGGGCCTTTTATGTGTCATGTGATCAGCTGTGTCCTTAAGACACAGTGATCACAGAGAGCACCAGGTGTGCACCGCAGTGGGCATGGTTCTGGGAGGATGTCATATGACCATAACATGACAACTGTGCTGCAGGCGTCATTCAGCTACAGCGCGGTCAGCACATGGTTAAAGCGTATCTATGGTCAGAATGTGGAATCAGTTTCCACATTGTATTTCAAGCCCCATCCTAATAATTTGAAGAATCTTGAAGTGTGTAAACTTATTTTGTGAAGATCCCCCCACATTTTTTTTTCCTTGAATATTCTGACACATATTCCCTATGAGCAGAGCCTGCTGTGTCACACGTTTCAGCCGGTTTTAGCACTGCTCTCAGCAGCGTCTGGCATTTTTTTTTCCGCCTCTAAATGCCCATGCATGTAATGCCGGCCATAGACGGTTCGAAAATCGATTGAAAAAAAAAAAAAAAAAAAAAAAAAAAAAAAAAAAAAAAATCGGCTGATTTTCGCACTGTTAGTGGGTTAATTGGTCTGCCGTTTTATCGTATTATCGGTCATGTTGGAAAATTTTAGGCCGATTTGGACGATCGGTCGATTTTCCGGCAATGATGGCAAAAATCGACCGATCGTTTAAAACGATAAAAAAAAAATAAAAAAAAAAAAAAAAATCTGTGTATGAGCAGTGACCTGCAAGGTACAGAAGTTATGGGGTGAACTTTATGATTTAGTTGGCCGATTTTTTTTTTTACTCGGTGGTAACGTCGGCTGAATGAACGACCGATTTTTTGTTTATCGTTCAAAAAAAATCAGCCGATGTTCAACCCGTCTATGGTCTGCATTAGCCTATGTGTCCATGCATGCTTAGAGGCAGAAAACACTGCCAGTGCATCTAGGAGCAGCAGTATTTTTGTGCACAAAAAAAAAAAAATGCTTGACACATGTAAATGCATGTTAACGCTGGGCATGTATAGTGCTTGAGCATTAATTCACTTCAATAACCAGAATACATTATCCTGGCCAACAAAATAAATGAACACCCAAGCACTTGACACAATTACATGCGTCAAGCGGTTTATTTTCTGCCGCTGTCAGGAAGAGGGTTGGCTAAGTGTCCAGTGAAGACTTCCTCAGGGCTGGGTCACACTATGGAAACGCAATGCGTTCCGGATGCATTTCTGATGCGTTCCGGATGCATTTCTGACGCGTTCCAGTGTGTTTTTTATGCATTTCAGTTCATTTTTTCTCAACTCTTCCTTCAGTTTTGGGTCAGTTCACACTATAGAAACAGTCCAGATGCACTCCAGATACATTTCTGCATTTGCATTTTTGGCACGTTCCTGTGCATTTTTGATGCTTTCCTGTTCATGTTTTCCCCCTCTTCTTTAATTTAAATAGAGACATGTGCGTTCCAGTGCGTTTTACCGTGTTCCAATACAGTTCTGGCCAAGAAAAATGCAGCCTGTTTTTTTTTCCTGCAACCAGAACGCACTGGAACTGCAAGCACTGATGTGAACTATGTGCATTCTTTATGCATTCCGGTCCATTTTTTATGCATTTTACCACATTCTGGTACAGTTCTGTACAGAAAAAAATGCAGCATGTTCTACTTTTATTCTGCAACCGGAGCGCACTGGAACTGCAAGCACTGATGTGAACTATGACACTGATAGCCCTATAACCTACTTTCTGTGCATTTTGGAAGCAGACAAAAGCAACTGAAACGCTTGTAGTGTGAACTGGCCCTTAAATAGGGACATGTGCATTCCACTGCGTTTTACCATGTTCCAATACAGTTCTGTGCAGAAAAAAATGCAGCATTTTCTACTTTGTTTTCTGCAACCAGAACGCACTGGAACTGCAAGCACTGATGTGAACTATGACACTGACAGCCATATAACCTACTTTCTGTGCATTTTGGATGCAGAAAAAAAGCAACTGAAACACATGTAGTGTGAACTAGCCCTTAAATAGGGACATGTGCATTCATGATGCATTTTGGTGCATTCCGGTGCGTTTCTGATGCATTTTACCACGTCCCGATACAGTTCTGTGCAGAAAGAATGCAGCCTGTTCTACTTTTTTTCTGCAAGCAGATGTGAACTATGACATTGACAACCATATAACCTACTTTCTGTGCATTTTGGATGCAGAGAAGAAAGCAACTGAAACGCACGTAGTGTGAACTGGCCCTCAGAGTCTCAGTGTTCTGCTGGAACAACACAGCCCATACAACTCCTGTGTCTGCAGCAAAGCCAGTTCCCTCTTGGCACCCAATAAGGTATTATACACAGCATGCACCTTCACCCCAGCTCACCCCCACACAGCTCTCCGTGCACCAGCCTCACCTTCCTCCCACCAGCCGCAGCACTGCCTCGCACAGCTCGCCCTCCGCCTCCTCACGGCTCAGCTTCCGGTTCTGTGGCCTCGGGTGTCCCTCCGGAGCAGCCAGGTCCCGCAACACAGCCGCCAGCAGCTCCCTCCCCGCCGCCTCCTGCTCCGCCGCCATACCTAGAGCTGAGTGTGCGGAAACCCGGAAGTGGCGCGGGGCTGCACGTGTATTAGGACCGGGCGCGGAGAGAGGAGGGGGGTCAGGGAGGGGCCGCACAACTCATACCGGTTGGCTGGACTCTGTGTGCCGGTACATGGCTCTGGATAACACCCGGACGACACACATCACATCCTACAGAGAATTGTTCACTTTTGTCTTAGCCGCCTCTAAAATTCGCTGCTGTAACGCGCTGTTCACCCCCTTCCTAGTGGTACAGTCCACATCAAACAAACCCAGCATGGGAGTCGCAGAGTGACAGCTGTGACACCACTTTCCCTCACCTTCCTGGGATGGTTGGTGCGCTTGTTGGATTGAGAACAGTGACAGCCATAGTAGAGACAGCAGCCATTCTCTGCTACACTGTGTACAGAGATAGGCACTCTGCCTGTCTCTGAAGCCTAGAGTTGGAGCAGTAGTAAACTGAGCAAAAAGGGATGAAAAAAAAACTCCCCCCTGCAAGGAAATGTTATAATGTGCTAGTATGTTATGCTGAAACGTGCAAAATCCAGCAGCTCAAAGATAAACTCATTTCAGGCCCCATAGTCTAAAAATTAAGTTTCAAGAAAGAAGGCCACAGCCTGTAAACCACATTGATGGGGTATAGAAGTATACAGAGATTCCACATCGATCCCAACAAGAAGGGCCCCCTAAGGGATCTCTAACTCCTGTATCTTATAAAGGACATCCCTCGTATCGTGTACAAACTCGAGTACTTAAAAAAAAACGCACATAAAGCCCTGTATTTATTTATTTCAGGTACTTATATAGCGCCATCAATTTTACGCAGCACTTTACATATATATTGTACATTCACATCAGTCCCTAACCCTCAAGGGGCGTACAATCTAAGGTCCCTAACTCACATTCATATACTAGGACCAATTTAGACAGGATCCAATTCACCTACCAGCATGTCTTTGGTGTGTGGGAGGAAACCAGAGTACCCAGAGGAAACCCACGCAGGCACAGGGAGAACATGCAAACTCCAGGCAGGTGGTGCTGTGGTTGGGATTCGAACCAACGACCCTAGTGCTGCCAGGCGGAAGTGCTAACCATTTAGTCACTGTGCTGCCCATTTCACACGTTTAGGCAGGTTTAGATGCATGTCAAGCATTTGAGCGTTAAAGGTTTAGATCACCTTTGCAAAAAGACTGGCTATGCAGATAAGAGGCGTCTGTAGATAAAAACAAACTGTGCAGCCCTGAATGAAGTTGAATGTCCTTGCTATAGGCGAGGGCCATTTACATATCTCCCTAAGTCTGACTTGTGACAGACCCAACCGGGACAGGGTCTTTTCAGTAGGCAAGAGGCTAGCGGGTCTATCACATGACTGGAAACCGGATCTAGCCTATCTGATCTGGGGGTGCAGTAAAAAAAAGTTGGGGCATAATGTCAATAGTGTGACAGAGATGCATGGAACCAGTATTCCCTGTTCACTTGGCTTGCTTCTGTACCACAGAGTCATAACTCAGAAGTAACAAATGACAGGGCAGAGGCAGTACGGGAGTGAATAGAGAGCGCTACTATGTATTAGGATGATTAAATAGAACCTGTGGCCCCTTATATCAAGTGTCCCTATCAGAGTCCCTCCTTACATAAGTCCTCAAAGTTTCCCCGTCACATCAGGGTTCCTATAAGAGTCCCTCTTACATTAGATGTCTTCATTAGATTGCCCCTTATATAAACGTGTACATCAGAGTACCCCCTGATATTAATCCCCCCCAAAGTGCCCCTACATCAGTTGCTTCATCAACAAAGTGTTTCCTTACATCAATTGTGCCAATCAGAGTGCCCCCTTACATCAATTGTTCCCATCAGAGAGCCCCCTTGCATCAACTATCCCTATGAGAGTGCCCCATTACATCAATTGTTCCCATCAGAGAGCCCCCTTGCATCAACTCAGATGCCCCCTTATCAGATCAGAGAGCCCCCTTGTGTTCCCCCTTACATCAATTGTTCCCATCAGAGAGAGTGCATCCTATCCCTATCAGAGTGCCCCCTTACATCAATTGTCCCCATTAGGTGGATCAGTTGGATGCGCTCTCAGAGATCTGGAGAGGCTCATCTAAGAACTGGGGGTGCATAGCCCACCCCAGCACCCCCTAGATCTGGGCCTGACTGGAATACTCCGAGTACATAGCTAAGTGAGGCCTAGTCATTACTGCTCACCTCACCATCACAAGAGTGAGCTCTTTCTTTGATTCAGACGCTCTCACGTTCTCTTTCTCTTCCTTGATGCAGAAGCTCTGAGCTCAGCATTTGAGAGCTCACTCCTGTGATGGTGGAGGTGAGCATTAACAATTAAGCCTCACTTAGCAACCTCCTGGCCAAGCTTCAGTAAGTATGTTTGTAGGTAGGTGTTTCTGAAACATTCTGTATATATATATATATATATATATATATATATATATATATATCTATATATATATATATATATAGTTACATAGTTAGTCTTGCTGAAAAAAAGAAAAAAGTCCACCCAGTTCAACCATAAAAAAAAAAAGTTATAATTCTACACCCACAGTTGATCCAGAGGAAGGCAAAAAACCCAGCAAAGCATGATGCAATTTGCTCCTGCAGGGAAAACAAATTCCAAAAAACCCAGCAAAGCATGATGCAATTTGCTCCTGCAGGGAAAACAAATTCCTTCCTGATCCCCCGAGAGGCAATCAGGTATTCCCTGGATCAACCTTACCTATAAATGTTATTATCCAGTTATATTCTGTGTATCTAAGAAAGAATCCAGGCCTTTTTTAAAGCAGTCCACTGAGCTGGCCAGAACCAACTCTTGAGGGAGTCTATTCCACATTTTCGCAGCTCTCACTGTGAATTAACCTTTCCGTATTTGGAGATTACATTTCTTTTCCTCCAGACATAAAGAGTGCCCCCTTGTCCCCTGTGATGACCTCAGGGTGAATAACTGTACACCGAGTTCACTATATGACCCACTGATGTATTTATACATGTTGATCATATCCCTCCTTAATCTCCTCTTCTCAAGAGAGAATAAATTCAGTTCCTCTAATCTTTCCTCATAGCTGAGCTCCCCCATGCCTCTTATCAGTTTGGTTGCCCTTCTCTGTACTTTCTCCAGTTCCCCAATGTTCTTTTTGTGAATTGGTGCCCAAAATTGACTTGCATATTCCAGATGAGGTCTTACTAAATTTGTACAGGGGTAAAATATCTCTCTCTCTCTGGAGTCTATAAATCTTTTAATACCAGAGAGGATTTTGCTAACTTTAGAAACCGCAGCTTGGCATTGCATGCCATTATTATGCTTGGGATCTACCCCCAGATCCTTCACCATTGATTCCCCCAGTTGTATTCCCCCCTAGTATGTATGATGCATGCATATTCTTGGCCCCCAAGTGCATAACCTTACATTTATCAACATTAAACCCCATTTGCCACATAGTTGCCCAATTAAACAGTGCATTGAGGTCGGCTTGTAAGTTGGAGACTTCCTGTAAGGACGTTATTTCACTGCACAGCTTGGTGTCATCTACAAAAGCTGAAACGGTATTTTTAATCCCAGATCCTATATTATCTATTGTATGTCAAAGGTTTTTCTTGTATTGTGTTATCTGCTCTGGGGTTGGTTATTGCAACTGTATTTGGGTGTAAACGCCATTCAATACAATGTAAGCCTAATAATTTATATTGTGTCCTTGGTTGACTTGGTGGTTCCTGAGAAGGAAGCGTTAACACTGTTGGCCAAGTTTTTCCTCTCTCTCCATGAAGGCTACCACCCTTTACAGGTCATTTCATATAAATAAATGCTCATTAGTGCCCTGGAGGGAGGGGAGAGCCCAATCAGGGTTTCCAGTAGGGTCTGGAGCGATATGGACTTGTACTATCTTATGTTGGACCCTTCCTATAGATTATTACTACCTCTTGTGGATTTACTGCCAATAATGGACTTTTACATTGAAATGGACTCTTTTATGAACTTGCTACCTAAAAAAGGTATGGCTGCCACATGGGGCACTTTTCAAGGGCACAAGAGAACTTTGTTAGGAATGTATGTGAAGATGTCTTTTGAGAACTGTTCTGCTGTCCTACTTAACTACCTAAGTAAAAGATCTGCATGGTTCATTTTATCCACCTGCTTTGAAATCTCTAAGGGGTGCATGCATGGCAGATCAAAAGAACAGGGCTTACAACTAGGGATGAGAAGAGTTAGAGAGGATAGAGTGCATAGGTATTAGGAGCAGAGAAGCTGACCTAGGGAGGCTATATTCCTGTTTCTCATGACTACCATATTTGTGTCAATTGCTAAAGCAGCAATCCAGCCAGGAAACAGGTGACTTGGCAGGGACAACAGACATGCTGGTAGTGAAGGGGCGTTATGCTTGGCCCCTATACCTAGGGACCTAACCTGGAGTCACTGAGAGAGATGTAGTGGGGAAGCCTGGAGGAGAACAAGCATGGAGTTATGGAGAAGTGGTTTTTGCATCCTTTAGTAAGATATGGAACATTGTCACTGGGAGTCAGGTGACAGGACTTCTGAGTTAGCGGCAACCGGTACACTCTCTGTGGTACCAACTTTGATATGCTGCACACCTGGGGAGAGGTGATCTCTAACAGAAGTTGTCTGCAGTGCATTAGTGTCATCTGCGTAGTTATCAGAGAACTATGGCCATGGATTACAAAATGTTAATTGTGCAAGTTAAGTCTGGAGTACCGCCTTAATGTTGATTTCACATGACCATGGCTGCTGCCTGTATTACAGCCATTAGCAAGTACAGTTCCACAATGTCCCCACTAGGGCTTCTTAAGCCCCGCCCACACATAAATGGCCTACACATATAGCAAGGACATTATTCAACTTTAGTTAGAGCTGCACAGTTTGTTTTTATCTACAGATGTCCCTTATCAACATAGGCAGGTTTTTTTTGGTAAAGGTGAAGTAACCCTTTAATGGATTCCATTGGCCAGAATATTAATTTATTCTAGCCACT